TGCACGGCGCAGCGGGGGAAGATGGTGCGAGCACCAGCTAACTGTGATAAAACTTGATGACCAGCGCGCGCTGCAAGCCCTGCACGGCGCAGCGGGGGAAGATGGTGCGAGCACCAGCTAACTGTGATAAAACTTGATGACCAGCGCGCGCTGCAAGCCCTGCACGGCGCAGCGGGGGAAGATGGTGCGAGCACCAGCTAACTGTGATGAAACTTGATGACCAGCGCGCGCTACAAGCCCTGCACGGCGCAGCGGGGGAAGATGGTGCGAGCACCAGCTAACTGTGATAAGACTTGATGACCAGCGCGCCCTGCAAGCCCTGCACGGCGCAGCGGGGGAAGATGGTGCGAGCACCAGCTAACTGTGATGAAACTTTAATCACCGTTCTTCATTAATTAAATAATTTAACAACTGTCATAGATAATTTACTGTCTAGCATTAACTTGATTGATTACATGCATGTTGTCATGGTATTACGTTTGGAACGCTCATAATAATTAAGATTGTCTTTAAATAGGAAGATTGAATTTATGATTTGGAGGATTTTTCCATTCACTTATTCGCGGCAAAACTTTGGTATTGTAATTAATAGATTTTTATGGGGTTACGAACTTGTATTGAGGAAAGGTTTGAGGAATTTATAGGGTAGAAGAAGAGAGAGTCGAGGGTCAGACGAGAGGCAGAGAGATGCATCAGCCGTGAGAGATTGACCAAAAATTCACGACGATCTTGTGACGTATGATTAAATTCCGGTTAAATCCCTTATTTGACTCTTCACTGTTAACCGCATTCCATTATTCCCGTCTATTGCTAAGGAGACCCCTGCATACAGTATAAATTGAAATCCTGTCTCCATTGGCAAAATATACTCACAACCATCACTCCGTGTGCAAGTTTATTCGGATGGACGTGCCAACAACAGTAATCTCAACTAGAAGATGAATTTAAAAAAAGGCGCTTACGTCCATAAGAACTTCTAGCCAAGTTGTCGTAATGACGTAACTTCTACGTCACAGAGCATCCAGGGATCTTCTGGTGGGGTATACCTGTTCTATCTGGGTACTCTATGTTGTCACGGTAATACAAAAGCTGACGCGACACGTGTAAATGACAAGTGTTCTGCCGATATATTTTCATTAAAGATGTTAGCTGCCATCCTTTTACTGCCCATGCTCCATCAATGGTCAGTTATCAACGCAATGAACAGTAGACGTTCGATCGCAGTCAGTATACATGTTAGTGGTTCCCCGCTACAATGTAATCAAGCAACCTTGATGATTAATACATCAATAAAAGTGAACCGCCAATAACTTTTCACTCGCGTCCACCCTCCTTTGTTTTATCTCCTTCAGTCGTTAGTAATCAAATCGTTAGTAATCAATTCGTTAGTAATCAATTCGCTATTAACCATTCGTTAGTATATGTATATATAATCCTGATCATTGTCGGGTCTCCAATAAGCAAAATTATCGTGGATGTAAAGATACAGAAAAATAAGAAATAAGTGCTACATAGATTTTAGAAAAATTGTTTTTAAAATATGAATGATGAGAAATATGCAGATCATAATTAGTTGAATTATTCCTGATCATCTCTGCTCCTTAACCTACAGTCGTGGCTAAAACTTTTGTCCCAAGAGATATTTTTCGGATTTTTCTATTATGAGGTCGAAAGTAGAATCAGGGAACCAAAATTTTTTTTTAACTTAAGCGCGAAGGAAAACACCAACAAAGCGAAATCCTACAGAAAAATTTGAAATATTTCAAATTTCTCGCAGGTATCAATTTTTTCAGTGCTGACGCTATATTACCGAAAGCCTCTTCTTTATTCTCTTAAGCAGGCTAGAAATCAAATTCTAAATGCTGCTGGCATCAATAAAGTTTCATTCATGCAAAATCAAGTCATGTAAGTCCTTTGTAGAAGTTGGCTTGGGTTTTCCCTCTTAATTTTACCCTCTGTTTGAGAATGTCCCGTGAATTTTCGATAGAGTTGAAAACTGGAGAATTTTCAGGCCATGGAGTCAATTCTTCAATGCAAAAATCTCTAATAAGCTTTTTGATAGCACCGACTCTATGACAAGGAGCCACATTGTGCTGGAAAATGCAATTTTGGTCAGAAAACTAAACAGAAAGCAGCCTAATACATGGACAGTGCTCCACATGGATGCTTCACCGTGGGCGCACGACATTCCGGCTTGAAGCTTTCACGTGATATATAATATATAATCCATATTAATTCACATTTGCATAATTAACGAAGGAATAGTTAGAGCTGTACTTATAACAACTTTTTTGAGCAGCTCAAATGAGAGATAAAGTATTGAAATAATAGCTGACGGTAATGGAAGAAAACAGTTGGTTTTGCAACGAAACATTGGCCTCTCACTGCCGTCGTAAGTCCTCAAGTGACTGGGAATCGTCATGGAAAACAAAACAAATCGGTAAAAATTAAAAAATATGCTGAAAAACAACCTAATCATTTAAAATCAAAATATATCGTTGAAAATCAAAACAAATAGTTGAAACATCAAAATATATAGTTTAAATCAAAATAAATCGTTGAAAATCAAAATAAATCGTCACTGAAAGTTCATTCTACATTGAGGCTTTAAGTTGCAATATCTTAGTTTATGTGAGAGCAAAATTTTTATAAAGAATATAAAAATAAATAAAACGCCTCTTAAATTCATCTTGCCTCCATCGAAAAAGGTTTCCGCATCATTTTAATATTCAATTGTCGAGCTTGAAAATATCAAGTCTTTATATTATTACTTTCTTTCTTGCTTAACCTGTTAGGTCACAGCTCTCGGTTAGTTTGTTAAGTCACGGCCCATGTTTAGCTTGCTTAATCACTGCTCACGGTTAGCGTTTAAGTCATGGCCCATGGTTAGCTTGTTAAAATGAGGTTCGCAGAAAGCGTTTAAGTCACGGTTCACGGTTATTTGTTTGATTCACGGTTACAATTACAAGGTGTGCAGGCGCTATAAGGTTAACCTGCTAGAAAAAAAAGTGGACAAGAACGGTTATGATGCTTGGTCCTGCGTGCATTAACTCAAAATAATCGTGTGCCAAAATTCAGTCATTGATATATTTTGTATGAGGTTTAGATTAATAGATCATCGCTTATAAAAATGTGTTCTTCTATTTAAATAACGACGAAACATTGGAAATAAATTTAAAATATTCATATTAGTTAGTTACATTAGTTAAATTATCAACTGTTACCTCAACATCGTTCTTCAAACTGTATTGGTAAAATATCAATTGGTGCTTAAATTATCTGTAGTTGGTTTCTTGATACTGAGCCTGCATTCAGGCAGCAATAATGTCGATAGTGATACACATTAATACACACTTTATGTGTTTATTTCGTTATATAGAAGCTATGTTGTATAATATAAAACTAAAAGGAGAATATTTCTTTCCTGACGATACGCTCTCTATCATTGATTATTTTAGTTGCACTTCGAACACCGCTGTCCTTTGTCATTCGATTTGTTCTTTGTAATCACTGTTCTTTGTCACAGTCATGGAGGCAGAGAGTGAACGATCTTCACAGTCTAATTGGATTACATTTCTTTCAAGTTAAGTTTAGATTTTTTTAAGTTAAGACGAACCAATCAGCTCATGTGAAAGAAGGTCGCAACATTATTTTTTTTGTAATACGACTCGACCTGAGATAAGAACGAAGTTTCGTCACGCCTATTCTACACCGTGATAATTCCTGTGACCAGACGCTTCCGTTTACGACTTCAGACTGAGTTAGGTTTAGACCTAGAATCTTTTCTAAGCCACGTTTTGCTTAAGGCGGACTAATGGTATTTTGATTTATGAATATATAATAATTTATTGATACGTTATTTTTATGAATATGTTCTGTTTTATGATAATGTAATGTTTTATGAATATGTTGTATTCATAGATATGCAGCGTTGACTTAAAAAAATGTAGGTTCACCATCAAACTGAACCACCCAATCGCAGCTGAAATCGAATTTGTATCGTTATCTATATACATGTTATACAGAGACGTTGAGAATATATAACGTAACGCTGTATCTTGTAACGCATGTGTGAGGCAATATAACATAACGCTGCATTGGTCTATCACATGACGTCACATCTTCGTTGTCTTAGCTTCGGCCTCGCCTTATTTGAAATAATCTCATCTCAATTAAATTTATTTAATATTATTTCAACTCACGTTAAATGATTTATACACATATTACCTCATTGTAAGACATCACAACTCATTTCAAATCAACCCATCTTATTCCAGCTCGTTCCATCTTATTTCAACTCGTCTCATATTATTTCAGCTCATCTCGCCTCATTCAAACTTGTTTCATCTTATTTCAATTCGTCTCATTTTATTTCAACTCGACTCCCTTTATGCCAACTCGTTTCATCTTATTTCAACTCTTTCCATCTTATTTTAACTCGTCACATATCATTTCAACTCGTCTCACCTTACTTCAATTCGTCTCATATAGGCCTGGCAGGGTGGCAGGGTGGCACTAGGCAGGGCGGCCCAGTGGTTAAAGTTCAGAGTACCAGGATTGGCGCAGAGAGGCGCGGGTTCGATCCCAGTTCTGTGCGCCAGTTTCTGGTCAGAATCGGCAAGGAGGCCGGGCGGTTAAGCATAGCAGAATTGTAGCAGTGAGTTGCGAGTTCGAGACTGCAAAATGCTGTGAATCTTTCTGCGATGTTCAGAATCGGCGACAGGCCTACGGCCTACTAAGCGCTGAAACCGCTATTATTATATTAATTCACCTCGTCACATTTTATTTTAACTGGGCTCATATTATTTCAACTCCTTTCATCTTATTTCAACTCTTTTCATCTCATTTCAACCATTTTTACCTCAAAAAATTCGCTTACGATGGCGGTGATGTTCTGGTCTCATAAATAATACATTGAAAAAACAAGGATTTAAAGAACAAAAGAAAATATGTCGTTATATTCTTAAAATTTACGTAATGTACATAGAGTTCGTATAAAATGCGTCGTTCATGTAAATGTAACATTTTACAGGCCAGATTATATTCCAAGGATAGTAATATTGATTTTCGATGCACAAAGTTGTTTCACAGTTAGCCGGTGCTCGCACCATCTTCCCCCGCTGCGCCGTGCAGGGCTTGCAGCGCGCGCTGGTCATCAAGTTTTATCACAGTTAGCTGGTGCTCGCACCATCTTCCCCCGCTGCGCCGTGCAGGGCTTGCAGCGCGCGCTGGTCCGCCTTGAAGGCCAGAAATTCGTCGCGGCAGGCGCGGTGGGTGACAGGCTGGCGACACATCGGGCACGACGAACTGCAACACAAAAAAATATAACTCAGTACTCACTGCAGTGAGTGACAGAGAGCGCATTTTCTCGTCGACGAAAACTTGAGGTCACGGACAGACGGACAGACAGACAAACAGACGGACGGACGGACGGACATGGCGAGCACAATAGTGCATTTTTTCCATAAATGAGAAAATGCGCTAAAATGAATTTCAAAATTTATGTTTGTTGTGTCTATCTTATGAGGTTGACGATAATTCTATCCTAGAAAATATTAGTCCTGAGGATAAGAGAACATTTTGAATATTCACAGTGTAGGCCTGCGTTTACTCGCTAATAAATCGCACCTAATGAGTATAACTGTATAACAAATTATTTTAAATATTGATTCAGGCACCAAAAATTTTCGCGAAAAAATTAAATGAAATAAAAAAATATTCAAAAAATTATAGGTAGAATATTTGGCTATTAATCACAGAATAACATCAGAGCAATATATATAATCCGGCAGCTTACAGTGAATTAAACGAAAGCGTATTATAGTTCTTATATTATTGGTCTGCTTAAACCGCAAGCTCATAAGGAATTTAAAAGAAAAATAACGTTAAATCAATTCACAAAATCTCCATGAAAGCGCACCAGAGACCAGCTCTATCATCAGTACAAAGAATTTCCTAGAAAAGAAGTACAGTTAGCATCGAAATCAATTAGGCAAAAACACTCACTTATTTTGCAGCCACCGCGCTATGCATGAGTGGCAGAAAAGATGTCGGCAGCTGGAGAACATGACGAAATTCTCTTCTTCTGTAATGTTGACATCCAAACACACGGGACAAGCTTCCTCTTCTTCAGATTGTGGGAGAATATCTTGCAGCGAGCGTTTGTTTAGAAGCGGGGACCATAATTCGTGGTGAGTGTTGCCGAGGATGACTCCTGCCTTGACAACGTTGTCGTACATCGCGTAAAGACTCTGAATAATTTCACTGAGTCTTGCTTCATGATTTAGACCTGTCCTTTGCATAGATATCGAGTCTTCAATTTCACAAGCCATTGCCCGAACGTATGCCTCCATCAGGTTTAAGTACCCCACAAAATCTACGTGTTGGTGTACGCCGTATTTTATAGGAGATATGCACTCAATGATGCTTTTAATTTCAGATAATACAATGTCTACAGTTGCTGGAGTGAAATTTTCTTTAACATCGAGGTATTTGGTTCCAGCGTCAATAAAAATGGGCGATAGAATGCGCTCAAATTCTTCAATAATTAAATGCGATGGCTGCCGCTGAGCCTTGGAGTGAAGGGAACGAATTTTTATCAATAATTGATTTTCTAATTCATTGAAATTGTGCTCAGCGTTGTCCGAGTTCCACACTAGCGCCTGTTCATCACCAGAGGCGGAAATTTGGGATTGAGCATCAATGGTGTTCGCCATGTCGGTAACGATACGAGGTAGGAGTTAAAGGAAAACTGAGATAGAGAGCTTCTCAAAAATCTGAAGAAATATTTTATGGTAAAAATGTTGCAGTAGTTCTTCTGACGAAAAATTTTCACTTTAAAGCAACAAAACCGACTCGTGTTGTACGACACTCGCAGAGTAAACGTTAGCGAATGGAGAGCAGAGTTCACTATAAACAAGTTGTCGGTGTGAAGCACAGGAGCAAACTGAAGGCCTACTCGATGCGGGTGTCCCTTATATAGGCCCACCCTCTACGTGCTTAACAATAGGATCGTCACAAAAAATATGGAAGGTTGCCGGATGCACCGCGGCTTCTTCTTTTACACTCCTAGATTCCTTTAGCCCGGACGCAGATGATCTAGATATTTCCAGATGGAAATTCTGAAATCTTTGAGTTTCGTAGTAGGCCTACAGAATGCTAAGACAAAGGAACGATATATCTTGTAGGATGCGTTAAATTTTATTATCAACTAAAGAGATAATTCGTACATTGCCTTTCCGATTTAGTATAGCAAATAATTTGATAAATCATAGATTGCGTTCTTATGTGTATTATCAACAGACAAAACGACTGACAGATTCCGTTTATTGTTATGAACTGATGAAATGACTCAAATTGTTTTTATTATATACTTGAGACATAATTCGAACATTAATTGCATTCTTATTCATTAGCAATTAGCAATAAAACTAGTATATTTCATCCATTTGAAGATATGTTATCTTGCGCTTTTCAAAAGGAATTATATTACATTGATTGAACGAGGCTTAATTTTTGCTTCCAGTTAAGTTTCTGTGTTTTTTATTTACAAATTAAACTGAATCTAATTTTTTAACGATATACAGAAAACAAAAACCAATATAACAAAGTACGTTTAGACCTTATTAACATTACTTAAAATAATAACACTACATAATAGCACATAATAACATACATAAATAACTCTTGACAATAACTATTTTCAAGATTTTATATACACTTGTGCCTGAAATTATTCGTACCCTTTCAGAAATATTATCAATTCCAATTTTTACGATAATAAAGATCACTTACGACTCATTATAGACTTATTATTCTAAGGAATTTTGTTATTGTAATGTACAACAAATTTAATGCTAGATAATATTTAGAAAATAACTTTCAATAGTAATAATGATTTTGTGAGTAACAACTGTTCATAATTATTCGTACTCTCTTTTTTCCAGATAATTTATCATAATAGTTAAGAAGAACTATTATTGAAAATAGTAGTAGGTACTCAATAATTGTATTGCAAATTTCGGTGTTATTAAGCATGGTAATCTTTTTCTGAGCAAAATCTGAAAATAAAATTTTTTCCACAATTTGGGGAAAAGCTGAAATTTTGCTTAAAGTTTAAAAATGGAGAAGAAAAAAGCGCTTAATAATGATCTCAGAAACAAAATTATAAATTCTCGCAAAGGAGGGCTGGGATATAAAGCAATATCTAAGAAGTTTGATGCTCCTACGTCTACAATACAGAGCATTATAAAAAAATATAACTCAGTGCTCACTGCAGTGAGTGACAGAGAGCGCATTTTCTCGTCGACGAAAACTTGAGGTCACGGACGGACGGACAGACGGACAGACAGACAGATCGACAGACAAACAGACAGACGGACATGGCGAGCACAATAGTGCATTTTTTTCCATAAATGAGAAAATGCGCTAAAAAGTCAAATCATTTATCACGATGGATAACCGGGTTGGTCGAGGAAGAAAAGGGAAAATCTTCCATAGATGTGCTAGAAACATAATGCGCTCCATTTGCAACAATCCTAGGATCATTAGCAAGGAAAATCTGCCAAATTTGGATGCTTCTGGTATGAAGGTTTCAAAACAAACAGTGAAAAGAACAATAAAACAACGGACAAAGAACAACAAAACAACGGACTGCAGGGTTGTCGACCCAGGAAAAGCCCTTTGCTAACAGAAAAGCATATGAAAGCACGTCTGATGTTTGCTAAAACTAATGACGATTCCCCAACCTTTAGTGGACAGATGAGCCTAAAGAATAATTATTAGGGTATATGAATGTTGCTTACGTATGGAAAAAAAGGTGAAGCTAATAATAAAAAACACGATCCCCAGAGTTAAACATGGGGTGAGAATCTTATTTTTTGGGGCTTTTCTCTATCAGCTAAGGGGCCAAGAAGTCAGATTAAATCAAGCGGGATCATGAAAAAAGATGAATATATTGATTTTTATCACAAATAACATTAAGCAGCAGGATGCAGAAAGACTTTCTCTTAGTCCTGATTGGATTCTTCAACAGGATAATGATCCGAAGGACACATCGAAAATAGGAAAGAAGTGGTTTGAGGATTCTCACATCAATGTCATGGAATGGTCTTGTCGAAGTCCAAATCTCAATCCAATTGAGAACTTGTGGCACGTACTGAAAATAGAGGTGACTAAGATACAACCAAATAATTTTAAGGAATTAGAACAGTATGCAAAAGAAGAATGGACAAAACTTAGTGTCAATGCATAAAGGAACCTTGTTGATTATTACCGCAAGCGTTTACAACAAGTTATCAATGGTAAGGCCATGCATCAACTATTGGTTCAGGGTATGAAAAAAATTTGGTCATGAATCAGTTTTATGTTTCCTTTGTATCGCTTTACGAAACTGAAAAAATACTATTTTCTTTCTTTCTATATACGTTTTATAGGGTTCCAAAATTATTTATATCTCCGTTTAAATTTTTAGATAATTATTTCTGGTCCAATTTTTGTAATTTCTCGAAATGATCTTAGGGTATGAATAACTTCGAGCACAACTGTGCTCGAATTAGCACAATAAGGGCATAAATAATTTCGAGCACAAGGCTCGTCAAAATATAAAACAAAATTTAATTTCAAGTTTCGCAATGAAATTTAAATCCGTAGACCCCAACCCAGTCATACTGAGCACACAAAATCCACCTACGAGGGGTAACTCAACTAAAATAACCTCGCAGCAATACCTTGTTTACACTGCACAGGAAACGGGCTATTAACATCTAAATACGAAAAATGAGATGGTGTTATTGTGATAAATATAATCCTAGTTTAATCCATGGGCAATATGCAAAAGTCAATATGTTATAGATTAAATGTCAAAGATACCCAAAACTAGCAAGTGCGTCAGGCGATAACTTCCTGGCACTCGAATGAAATGATTAATTAAAAGCAATAAGTCTACCGGTCTACCTTTTTAAAGGCAGACTAGTATTTTCATTAAAATCAAATTTCATGTTGTGGCAGCGCTAACGTCCGTTCTTTGTTTGCCCATGCTCACGCTGGCAACGAGTAGGATGCGTCGCATTCGCCCTGTCTTTTTTTAATGATCAGCGTAGGGTGGTGACTGTAACCTCGCGTCGCCTGAATTTTTGGAAATTATTCGGTAATTTTATTAAGATGCAATGCTGAAAATCGATCCTATTGTTATTTGATTACAGCAGCAGTGACATTCATGATCTCTTTGAGTGGCGGGTGGACGTGGGCACCAGATTTACCTTCTACCTCGAGGTTCAGAGCACTTCGAGTAATATTACCTTGGAATTCCCACGGTAATGGGAAAACTTGAAACGAATAAACTTCACTTGAGGAGGAAGTCTTGTTCGTGTAATCTGCGAGCTCTCGCTTGCCGCGAATTGACGTACAGACCAATTCTTCGACTGCGGGATTGGGCTTCGGAACGCATATGGTTATCCGACATGAAGCCTGTAATCTCAGCCGGTGCAGTTTGATCATAACTGATCAATTATTGAACGTATCAAATAGTGTAAGGTTTCACATGCCGGTACCTCTAAAAAATGACTTCATGGCTAATTTATTTGTTTTTGATTACCCAACAGCGTGTTGATTTACGTTGCAGTTTACGACAGCTCCGTAAGAGTGTGAAAAACATTCTATATACCTACGTACTTCTAACTTTCTATGTAACGATTGTTTTCAGCTAAATCAATATTTTTCTCCTGTTGGGAAAATCAAAATTACTTAACTTATTTTACAAACGTTTCTTTTTAGCGCATTTTCCCATGTATGAAAAAAATGCACTATTGTGCTCGCCATGTCCGTCTGTCCGTCCGTCTGTCTGTCTGTCCGTTTGCCTGTCCGTCCGTGACTTCATGTTTTCGTCGACGAGAAAATGCGCTCTCTGTCACTCACTGCAGTGAGTACTGAGTTATATTTTATATGTATTTTCCGTTCATAATTTCATCTTCTCAGTCATCGGAAAAATTTTTTATATGAATTTCACTTGTGCGGTTGAAAATTTATAGAGAAAAATATTTTCCTTCAATCCCCTTGAAGTAATTTCACTGATGAAGCACTAACCTGGGTTAACGACTTCATAAACGCCGAACTAGTTACTAACTAGTTTCTAGTTTTTGAAACATGTGCCTCAGAGTCAATACCTCATATTGGTATAGTCTCTCCTCAGTATATGTAAATACAACCTCAACATTCACATATCTTCAATACTTTGGTTAGGGTAACATGGGGCAGCGAGCCCACTGCGGGTCATGGGCCCATAGCTGGTTTCTCTCTAAGTATGGCAGATATTGGCATGTGTTCTCTACCGCCGGTCGACAGTTTCACTGGGATGAATTGTACGGATTTACGTTTTGCTAAGTGTTTGCGTTATTAAGATATCTGTGGATAACTGTTTCAGCCCAGATAAAGTTTTTTTTTTTGCTGCTAAATAAAACTGTTATCTATTACTGTAGATGAAGCTTTTGAAATTACTGTGAATTATATTTTGAAAGTAATATCTATAGAGATAATTTTGAGATCAAGTTTAGACTATTAGCTTTTAAAATAAAATGTTGACACGATATAAATTGAAAGGATACCTAGTGGGGCAACGGGCCCACGCGTGTCACGGGGCAAAGCGCCCATGGTGAGTCTTGTGTTATACATCATTAGATTTGTCTTAATGACTTTTTCAGAACCATGACTAGCTTTTTGAATTACAAATTGCACTATATATTGCTTGATTTTTTTAATTGCCGCCTCAAGGCAGCAGGTTTAGTTTCTAGTTATGCGTATTTATGATCCCTTAACGAGTTGCTGACTCTTGCCTTGCCAAAAGTTGATTTCAGTCAACACCAATGAGCCAAAAGTTGATGAGTTTTTATGGTGTTNGGCATGAACACGTACAACAGAATGAGCTGGATGTGCAAGTAGGTTCCCCGTTCTATAACTCCTGCCCTTATGCTCAGCCAGCCTAGTATAGAAATTGCGTGACGTCATACCGACGTACGCTAATGCGCACTGCGCACAACTATGTCTGTAAACCAGTGACGATCGCATAAGAACTGGTAGGGTATCCTTAAACCTGAAAAAAGAGCCGATTCTAAAATTGTTAGCTAGCAACACATGTCAAACAGAAGCCTACTCTGAATGCCGCTTTTAGCTCCTTTCCTCTTGAAATAGTAAAATAGATAGACCGTTTGCTAGCGTTAATTTCATGTCTTATTTAATTATTTTCCGTTTTGAAACTTGACAGTGCATTTTACTTTACTAATTGATTTTATTTGTGTTTCTAGGACTGAACTTCTTCTGAACAGAATGAAGTGACGATGGAGCTGGACTCCGAAACGTTTACTCTTACAAAGATATGGTGAATTTTTGTGGTATTGTCTTTGCTTTTAAATTCCTGGTTAACTTGCGATTCAAGCAAACAAGTGATTTTAATACTTATATGCGTGGAATATTTACACCAATGAATGTTCCTGAATATGTCCGCAGTTTGTTTGGTTTTGGCTTGCGCGAGTCGGAAGCCTGGCTTATCCAGACACGTCTGCCTTGCTTGGTCGAGAGTGAATGCCTGAGAGTTGTTGTAGAGGTAGTACAGGCCATCTTCGCGTTTGATGGTGCCAGCTGGTAGACCTGAATAAAAAAATAGTACAAGTGTCTGTGTTGTTGTAAGATGTGTATAAGAGACAGGTTCATTAGTTTGAGAGATATTCCTTGATCGTTCGTTGATTTTGGAAATTGGCCGTGAGACCGGCCGCGAGTCCGGCCGTTAATTTGTCCGAGACGTAAACCCAGGGGAAGTTAAAAAACAGATCTGAGTGAAAAAAAAAACCATCGCTGGGAGTCCTGTGCTGCAAGTGTTGTGTATAAATCGTCAAACAAAAGCTCAAACTTCTGACTTCGACTTCGGACTGCCGCCCCCCTATCGCCCCCCAAACGCCCTCTTCTTCCATACCGCCCCCCAAAATCTTTCCACCGCCCCTAGGGGGGCGATATCGCCCACTTTGGGAACCACTGCTCTAGAGGGCATAGTAGCATTCGAAGTTCAATGCTTCAGCCAAGGCTCATATCAGTGCTACAAGTGCCGTACATGTCCGCAGCCTGGCTTGCGGATTTACAGCAAAATTTGCGTACTTCAGCTCAGAGGCTTGTCAGGCTGGCTGTAGATATTGCATGCAAAAACAGGGTGTTTACTTCAGGTTAATTAATTTAAGAGTTGAGGTTATATGGCCCACGACTGCGCATCCCCCATGCGGTACATTACTTCATGACGTTTGGGAAACGTAGTACTTTCTCTTTAAGGTCGTGAATCTTCTTCAATCTGACTTAGTAAAAAATTTTTAATAGGATGATTTGTTAGTGCGAGTAATTTGTTGTGATTATTTTGACTGTCAGTTAAGTGCTTGATCTTAGTTATAGTGTCCTTTAATATTCTTCAACGTTCATTCCACACTGGGCGTTCTATGCCATATCCGAAATTGTTTTTTTGTCATTTACTCAATGTTCTGAATTTCACTGTGCGGCTCCATAACCACGCCGACTTCAGTTGAATGAAAAAATCACGAGAACTAGTAGCTTTAATTGTTATAAGCTTTTATTAATAATAGATTTATACTAATATTAGATTTATTTCATTATCAACTTTGTGTTACAGTTTACTTGAGTTTTTAGATGAACTGGCGGTTTGTTTCCGTGTTACAAGGACATTTTCCATTTAATAATAGTATGATTTATATTATCTTGAACGTCATTTACTTCAATAATTGAGTAAGTTTACGAGATAATAATCAGATTTCTAATTTTTGGGGGTAATTGTTGTGTTTTTAAATAAATTTATTGACTATGTCTCTATAACAGACCCGACCATCACTAATCGCAGGTATTATTGGAGACCAGTTGAATCTAAACCAGTATACCGAGGCTAGTTCAAAGAGGCCAGTCTAAAATGGCTAGCCATGTATGGTTATTCGATCATGACCTAACATGTCGAGCCCATTATGGTGAGTCTACCACGACGAGTTTACCACGTCCTTTCTAACACGGCAAACTCAGTATGGTCATCTTTGCTAGTCTACCTCCTCACTTCTAACAGAGAGCCTACCACAGTTAGTCCACTGCGCAGAGTCTACCAAGGCATATCGTCGTAGTTTGCCTGGCAGAGGTAACCGTGGGACTTCGAAGGCATCTCGTGCCTATAGTATACGCCTGAGAAGATCCCTCCGTAGTAGACCATGACAGCGGTGACTCCTGTAGCGTAATCCGTGGGTTCATTTGCAGCCAAGACCCCAACCTGCAGAGGGCTGCCGTCCATCCACACCAGCGATCCATTGCTCAGGCGAGTCAGGCCAATATAGAAGTCTCCGTCTGTTGGTGAAATTCAACGTCTCGCATACTTTATTTAATGTGCAAAGTCTTACGTAATATGAGAAACAATTGATATATGATTCAAAAGTAGACAGTGCGGGACGAATCGTTCTTATATATCAATATTATCTCCTTGTTTGATAAACTTGTAGCGCAAATATAATTGCTAACAGCTTTTGCTCCTAAAGCACAATGACGTTGAACGACGTTATGGAATTGAAATTTTAGCTCAGATCGTTTGAGAAATTATTCCCTTATGATATAGTGGTTTCAAAAATTGAAAATTAATCCATTCCTGGCCTCTCTGTTTATCTAAACATTGAAAATTTTTCACGGCTAGCTAGATCTCAAACCCACAACACATTCCTCAAATCTTGCTGTTCAACCACTATAGGCCATCGCACCGTTCAATGCAACTCAATACGACTTGCAATTACGTCAAGTTTTGTATCAATCGATTCGGTGGCACACCCGGGAAATGTCAAATCCATCGATGTTCTGCTGTACATAACTGTAATGATTTACAGGTGTAGAGACTTCATGTCGTATGGAAAAGATACCGTCATTGGATCGTTATCTAACATAGTAAATTTGACCAAATAGACATTCTTGATTTTCAAAACACATGATGTATTCGTAATTAATTAAAACAATACAACCGCCTCAATAATACAAATATCATGTTCTTCATACAGTAGCGCGACTGATCAATTTGGTGGCGACCGCTTTAAAGTGGCAGTTAGTAACTTTATTCTTATTGATATGTTTAATCAATCGTGCCGAATGAATCGAATGATTTTTCCTTTCAGCCTAACACCTAAAGCTAACTGCACTAACCCGGTACAGATGATGGGTTGTGTCGGACATGACGGACGGACATCACTAGCACAATAGCGCCTTTTTTCATAAATGAGAAAATGCGCTAAAAAGAAGTGATGATATTTGTTGTCATGGAAATGTTAGGTTCTGGAGTCGCGCTCGAAACGAAAAAAGCTACCGGAATGAAAGCCGTGCTAAAGCATGAAGCCAAATTGTATAATTTTCACTTGATGCATTGAATAACCAGGAATTTAAAAGCAAAGACAATACCACAAAAATTCACCATATCTTTATAAGAGAAAACGTTTCGGAGTCCAGCTCCATTGTCAGTTCATAACACAAAATTCTGTTCAGAAGAAGTTCAGTCCTAGAAACACAAATACAATCAATTAGTAAAGTAAAATGCACTGTCAAGTTTCAAAACGGAAAATAAATAAATAAGACGTGAAATTAACGCTAGCAAACGGCCTATCTATTTTCTATTTCAAGATGAAAGGAGCTAAAAACGGCATTCAGAATAGGCTTCTGTTTGAATATATACAGGGATTCTAAAATTCGTAGATCAGTAACACCGGATGTGGAAGCTAGAATTTTAAAATCCTTATCAGATACAGAGGTGTTGCACTGCTCGGCATGAACACGTACAACAGAATGAGCTGGATGTGCAAGTAGGTTCCCCGTTCTATAACTCCTGCCCTTATGCTCAGCCAGCCTAGTATAGAAATTGCGTGACGTCATACCGACGTACGCTAATGCGCACTGCGCACAACTATGTCTGTAAACCAGTGACGATCGCATAAGAACTGGTAGGGTATCCTTAAACCTGAAAAAAGAGCCGATTCTAAAATTGTTAGCTAGCAACACATGTCAAACAGAAGCCTACTCTGAATGCCGCTTTTAGCTCCTTTCCTCTTGAAATAGTAAAATAGATAGACCGTTTGCTAGCGTTAATTTCATGTCTTATTTAATTATTTTCCGTTTTGAAACTTGACAGTGCATTTTACTTTACTAATTGATTTTATTTGTGTTTCTAGGACTGAACTTCTTCTGAACAGAATGAAGTGACGATGGAGCTGGACTCCGAAACGTTTACTCTTACAAAGATATGGTGAATTTTTGTGGTATTGTCTTTGCTTTTAAATTCCTGGTTAACTTGCGATTCAAGCAAACAAGTGATTTTAATACTTATATGCGTGGAATATTTACACCAATGAATGTTCCTGAATATGTCCGCAGTTTGTTTGGTTTTGGCTTGCGCGAGTCGGAAGCCTGGCTTATCCAGACACGTCTGCCTTGCTTGGTCGAGAGTGAATGCCTGAGAGTTGTTGTAGAGGTAGTACAGGCCATCTTCGCGTTTGATGGTGCCAGCTGGTAGACCTGAATAAAAAAATAGTACAAGTGTCTGTGTTGTTGTAGATGTTGTACAGACCATCTTCGCGTTGGAAGGTACCGGCTATGATCGACCTAAATACGTAGAACGAGCTGCAACCACGTATAAAATGTCAGATTTTTGCCCTGAGGTAAGCAATTCGATCTTTTATTTCGGATTACCTCACTCAGTTAGGCTATATACAGGGTGTTTCAGAATTAAGTAACCCTTTTAATTTGTTAATAAATAAAAAACTAAGTACGTTATGAAGTTGAAACTTGTTTTATTTAAAAGAAGAACATTTTTATGGTAATATTGTATCCTAGTTTTTAAATATAATATCTTTTAAGTAACCACCACAATTGTTTTGACAAAATAGGGCTCTTCTCTTCGTTGCTTTCATAACCTTCATTAGTGTTTCTGACGAGAGTGCAAATTTTTGATATCCGCAAATTTTCGATAAAGATATTTAAATGTGTGTTTTGAAGGATCCTTGTTTTGAAATGGATCCTGTAATCACGTTGAACTTCTGTTATTGACATCGTTATTGACTGTAGCGATAATTTTTGTTCTTTCTTCTTTGCTGTAGCGAATCATGATGAAAACTTAAGGCTTGATAATTAAACACAAATTTAGCAAGCTATACAGGATAATGACTTAACTATGATACAATATTACCATGAAAATGTTCTTCTTTTAAATAAAACAAGTTTCAACTTCATAACGTTCTTAGTTTTTTATTTATTAACAAATTAAAAGGGTTACTTAATTCTGAAACACCCTGTATAATCTCACCTAATGGCAGGTAATAGACGTAAGTAGAACCATTGCGTGGTGTCCCCAGCTCGTAGTGGTCGATGTGACGGCAAGTCGCATCAGCGTCGTAGGAGAAGCCCTTGCACACAGAAGGGTTTACGACACACTTCACCTCGCACTGACCTGCAAAAAAATTAGCATTTAATTAATCAAACAACATCCATTGAACATATTAGCACTGCAATAAGCGTCGCAACAAGGAGACGTTTTAATGCACTTTCCATATCTTTGCAGAGGACTTGAAGTGTTTGAAGATTTCGCTCTTCTAAAAGTAAAATCATTTAACGGATGTGCCGATCAATTTCTCGTGCTCAGTAAGGTTACAGTGTATTTTGCGGTTAACACATGCTGGGTGTTACATAGTGATTGTGTAATGACATTCGGAATTATGTACTGAAATTAATCGTCAATTAGTGACTGAATCTTCATAGTAAAGAAGAAAACTGGCTTCGGAAGCATTCACTAACACATCCAAGCCAGTATATAGAACAAGTACAATAAAAGGCCATCTGGTCCTACAAATTCCACGAGTACATGCATAGCATCAACTTTGGCACTCTCACCCACTCATCCATCCACGATGGAAATCACGCAAGCATGGACACAATTGAGCATTGGACACAACCACTCAGCCGCAATTGCCATCACCAACAAAACACTCACATTGGGTGATGCCCAAAAACTCGGCGTAGGCCCTGCCGGTGGCGATGGTGAGGCCAGTGTGGCGGATGGTGACCGCAGGAGAGCCAGGCTTACGAACGATGATAGCTAAGGCACCGCCCAGCATGAGGAGCACCCTAAGTTTCCTCAGCATCCTAAATTATGGGCAATTTGTTTATTCAAACAAAAAGAAGAATGATTTAGATTTTTGTGGTGTTTTATATTTACTTAAGATTAATTATAATATTACAATGTTTTCTTGGGCAGCCACTAGAGAAGAAAATAGGTCACAACATCTGGTATTATTGTGCTCAAGCTCTGAAACATTTGTGTACGACAAGTTAAGTTTTCAATTAAAATTTTAACAATGAGGATGAGCCGCTATACGTTCTTCTTCCAGCGCCACTTCTTGCACTGAGTGGGCAGATTTTACTGCTGCATGTGTACAAGACTCGCTAAGCAATGAAGAGGGCCATCGATTCGTCTAAGAGGTGGAAGCTTTTCATCAACTTACCGGCAGCTGCCATCATGTGCTGCCGTAAGTGTTATCTTGTCAATTTACAGGCGTTTAGTTCTTAGTCTCTTCTTATGTTCAAGAGAAGCTTGGAAATTCATGTAGACTTCATTTGAACGCTTCGTGGTAGTGACTGAAAAGGGTAAAATTATTATTATTTTTTATTGAGCATCAAGGTATTGTTGAAATGAAATTCGTAAATCTTGTACAAGATTTTTATGATTTAGATTTTTTTTATGTGAACTGGAAGATTTTCGTAGTAACGTGTAACGCCAATGTGACAAAGGGTAACAGTGCATCCAAGGTAACGCCGTGTGACAAAGAAGACAGTACGTGACAAAAGTGTTCATACATGTTATACAGGGTAATGTCCTGTTGATTGAAAATGTTACTTGTGTTACTAATGTCAATGATGTAGATGAATTTTTTATTTTTTCTCAACAGGACTGGAAAGTTCACAGACGTGCCATTATGCTATTATGATACGAAAACTTTGCATAAAGCAATATGATCATGACAATCGTGATCACGTTTAAATCACGACTAGTTCATTCAATATGGACCACAGCTCAAACAGCTAAGAGCATTTCTAAAAGCTTTGGGTGTATTAAATAAGCTTGAGTGGTTTAGCGATCACAATTTGATTGAATGCTCCAATTTTAGCCCCCAACGAAATACCTACATTTGTTTTGAGTTTCAAACAAGGCCAGGCATGCACTCAAGACAATCGTAACTGAAACTACAGAGCCCTCTCTCTCTAAGTGAACACTCTCGCGAAGAACCATCAGCGTCATTGAAGTTCTCCGGCATAGATCGCAAGCTAAGAACCATCGGCGTCATTGAAGTTCTCCGGCATATATCGCAAGCTAAGAACCATCGGCGTCATTGAAATTCTCAGGCATTATAGCAAGCTAAGAACCATTGGCATCATGGAAGTTCTCCGGCATAGATCGCAAGCTAAGAACCATTAGCGTCATTGAAGTTCGTCGGCATAGATCGCAAGCTAAGAACCATCGGCGTCATGGAAGTTCTCCGGCATAGATCGCAAGCTAAGAACCATTAGCGTCAAATCATTTCTCATGAACAGATCGAGCGCTAAGAACCTTCAGCGTCGAGGCTTTACTCGTGTATAGATCGCGTTCATCTGGTTCAGCTAATCATAGGTGATCGCTCCACTTCCATTAGTGCAACGGCGTTGTTCCATGAAGAGGCTTGCCCTCTTTTAGGCTGGCTTGCCATCAAAAAAATTATCATGTCCTATGATGAATGAGTTATATCGTTGAAATGCATACAAGAAGATGAAGTCCAAACACATATCGTGTCTAACAAAAACCGAGTAAGAATGAAATTAGCTACCGAAACACAATATATGTAGATCAAGGTTTTCCGCTAATCTAGCTAAAATAATGGGATTTACGTACATTATCCGTGCAGCCTACGCAATAATTTCTTTGACTAAAACAATAATTTAAGAAGCAATTTCATCAGATAATACATCATTTTTCAGTCATGTGAGCAGAAATTATAGAACAGATGCCACTCACTCATATCTGTGAGGTCTAGCTTGCACTCGCGTGTGTTTACCGTTATAGTACTTCTCTTTTCAATGTCAAAATGCGTTAACTTGGTTGTCGAAAGATGCATTCATAAGTTTTCTTAACGTGAACAGACCTATTCATAATTTACCTAGTGTGAAAATATATTTACACGGTGACGCAAAGTGACATATATCCATTGTTACAGGTTAAATTATTTTTGTAGTCTGACTAGAATTTTCATCGAACGTTCGTGATGCGGTAGTTTTGGTCGAGCTTGTTTGGGCGTAGTCGAGCTGTGGCGCAACAAAGTTTTAAAAAAAATCGTGCTTTATTTAAATCTTAAATCGTGCTTCATTCGTGCTTTATTTAAATTCGTATTCGTAAATCGTGCTAAATCGTGCTTTATTTAAAAATCGTGCTATTTATTTTAATTACCAACTCGTAATATCACATTGCAATGTTTTTCTTTCTGCTTAATTAGGTCATTCAATCAACACTTTTTGGAAAATGTCTGTCATTCCTCATAAAAAGTTGAAAATAAATAAGATGGATTAGATTATCTGGAGATTAATGCTGGAACTGTCCAGCATAATTTGACTATAACGATTAACTCGAATTATCGTCTGGAACAGCTTACGTGTGTTCTCTTAAAAATTGTGCGTGTCCCTGTACTCTTCAATCGTGAATGGATTTTGCCCGAGTCTAAGTTAGAATTATATTTATTTATGGTGAGTGGATGAAAGAATCAGGTGTCATATTTTGCCGATTCCGAGTGGCAAACGTGGAACATCCCGACGGCAGAAATCTGGCAGTGCGTGGATTTGAAGAAAGCGTCGCAGGTGAGATCCTACACCACGCGTTACGTGGACGTTTGGTACGCTAAAGAAAGTTCGACATTTGACGTGCGCCACGACATTGAGCGATTAATATCTGGAATAATTTACTGCGTGGTTCGGAAGGGATAAATTAAAAAGCAGTTTAATATGTAAATGTTCTCGCTTATAGCGTCAAACGATTGTTTGTTGGCATCAATGTAAGAATCTGATACGTCAAGTTCTAATACAAGATTTTTGAATGCGGTGCCAAACTCTGATCTTTTATGGACTTGTGATATCAAGTCCACAAGTGCGTTGCCAAACAGCGCTAGTGATATCAAGTCCCGATATAACAGGCTGAGTCGAGCCCTGAAGAATACCTAATTGCTAATTGTCAATATTTACCAAGTGACACGCTCGAGTATATATTTAACCGTATTTAACCATTCCTTGATAATGCTGGCTTTGCAGGCGGTCAATACGGAATACGAATATATCTGACGGTGATACTATGTATAATTTACGGGAGAGGTTCAAAATTTACTGGGCAGTCAAATCTAAACAGAAAACACGCGCAATTCACTCTATTTAATTTCACTGTAAGGTCGTTAATTTAGAACAGAAAAATTGCCTTGAAACAAGTTCAAGGTACAAAGAGTCGAGAAGGCTTCTTGCCTCTATTGACCGAGTCGATCGCGGGCATTTCTGTCACGACAGGTTATATTTATTGCACAGAGCTAGATAAACTCTCATAAGAACACCCTTACTGTCGGTTTGTAATCGCAAAAGTGCGACATTGAGCAACGCTAATCCATGGATAATCATTGCACATTACCGAAGCTACCTTTTTCTACTGTAAGCGAAGTCTTTATTTATCATTTCCAGCTTTCAAAACTGTTAATCGATCATTAATCATTTTCTCATTCGATTCCTAATCTCATATTTAGGCTGTCTCGTTTAAATTTTTACTCTGGCTGTCTACTTGTACAATAGTCGCAAGTTGTACGTTTACATGAGAATACAACTCGACCGAAGGGGTTTTGCTATTCCCCAGTCCTGCCTAACGAGAGACGCACGCAAACTGTCTGTCAAATCACTGTATTCTTGTACCTGCTGGCCGTTCGACCGAGGGCTGGTTCGACGCACGGCCTAGATATGATTGTCCAGAAGCGTTGAAGGCTACGTTCGGGGAAGCAGGAATCATGATGGTCCATTACATCCAGGGCAGTAGTGGTCTTTGGCAGGCAACCCCGTCGGTATAAGCTATTGCATAAATTAATTCTTCATCATTACTTAGTTGTATGATGCATGGAAATGAAAGCAAATGTGATGCCTCGTAATTATCAGTGATGAGGCAAAACATTTACTTAAATTTAATCTTTACGGACAGTAGTAGTCCATGTTTATACATTAAAACGAACATTCCTTATAAGCCATTAAAGATTATTAAAATCAAGGGAAATTAATATTTTATGTTGTAATAAATTATTCACAAAATTGAGGTTGGAAAAAAAATTGGCCAGAAAACTCGCGATGTCGAATATCTAAAGTAATGACTAACATAAATAAAATTTTATTGATGAAGCGGACCAAATTCATCCGTCGTCATGATGAAAATCAATACAATTTCTTTAGCAATCCTTGATCGAGACGCTACTCAAATATTTGGCATCGAGCATTTGAGCGTTTCGGCAATAAACTTTAACGATAATTATTTCATTTAAATTAAAGGTTAAGCAAGTTGGTTCGGTTTACACGTTCCGGTTCTTCTTCTACACTTGCGCGCTGAGAGGAAACGGACATGACCCATGACCCCAGCACCAGACAAGCACTTCGAAAGCTGAGTGGACTGCAAAGTGTGTGGGGGGGGGAGGGATGTTTATCGTGAACCCACAGAAGATTTATCGCCTTGGGACAGACAGGCTGACCCTCCACCGAAGTAAGACAACGGAGGGTTAAATCTTGATTCAATCTACGGAAAATTCACTGACCTGTGGTTAAATTACTAATATAATTACCACTAGAAGACTGATTCACTAATGCTTGGTACAGCGATCAATGAAGAATAAATAATTAAACCAACTGGTATCGCGAAAATGTTTGAAAAGTCGCGCGATTTATTATCCTCATGGTTGAAAATTTTAATTCGCGATAACAGTGGTAATACAAAATTTACATAATTCATCCTAATGTCTTCAAGTTGAAAATAATTAAGCTTGATAGTATCTGTCTATGGAGTTATCTGTCAAATTCATAGTTAAGAAACTCCATAGGCGACTATCGCGGCTGACCACCTTGATGCATGTTCTGATTTCGACGGAAAGTTTTACATCTAGCTGGGTTAGAA